AGCGGGAAGTCGGAGGAAGGAAGACTGAGGAGGCGAAGGGCAGAACCGGTATTGACTGCTGCTGCTGCTGATGTCCCTGCTCCGCACCCACACCAGAATCTCCAATTGGACCCAGGCAACCTCCAGGACTTGCCACAAAAGCACCCCCAGGACTAGCACCCCCAGAACCAACACCCTCAGAACCAGCACCCTCAGGGGAAACACCTGGTGTAGCGCGTTAAGTCGTCGACGAGCACCACAAAGTAGCGCTCGCGACGCGGCCCAGGGATGGGGGTTCGGCCTCAGACGTCTAGGTGCAGGGTCTGTAGTGGCGCCGTGGTGGGGGGGAAACGAGGAGGAGTGAGGAGCACGGCCCAGCCGGCCCCCAACGCAAGGCGTGCATGGAGGCGTGGGTGAGGGAGGGAGGGCATGGAGTGACGGGGGGAGACCTAAGACAAGACCGTGTTGGGACATGTAACGCAGACGCGAGAGTGCAGGGTGACCTAGGCGGTGGTGCCACAAAAGCGACGGGTGAATGAGCGACCAACACGAGCAAGCCGTAACGACCTGGCTAGGCGCAGCCACCTGGAAGGACGCCCCCACCGAGGGGGACGCGGTGTCCAACGTGAACAGGCCAGACACCGGGTCCGACGGGAATGTGGTGAGGGGGGCACCAGTGGCGGCCTTGGTACAGACTGCGCACCGCTCGTATCTAGTAAACATACTAGAGGCGCCAATGTCCTGATGATAGCCGACACCAACTAGGTTCCTGGAGAACGAGGGGATGTGTAGGCCTGTAAGGGAGCCCGAGGGAACCGCCGGACAGGGAAGGGTGGTGGATCTACGTGCAACTACCGGACCTAAGGAAGGGTCAGCAAGAGCGACGGCTGTGGGGGCGGCAAGCGATGTGAGCACGGTGTGGTCGTAAAAGAAGCAGGTGGATGCACCAGTCCAACGTGAAGGAGAGAGTAGCGGTAGTGTCAGCCAGAGGAGGGACTAGCGTTCAGCCAAGGCTAAACAAGTCAGGACGTCCTACGCCTAATGCGGCATTGGAGCCTAGACTACACACAGTGAACATACGTACACTAGGCAACCCAGGGTAATAAGGTCCAGTCACACTAGAGTCATGAGTATACATGGCATACAAAGCAGAGCGAATCTGATCCATATCCATCTCGAACATGGACACGTGGTGACGTACCAGACTAGGCCAATCTGGTAGGTCCGGTTCGGGGCCGAAGCGGAGACGGAAGAGGTCATCGAGGCGGCGGTGTGACGAAGACGGCTATATATGGGGCGGAGGAGGGAGTTGAATAGCGCACAATGACGGCATCTAGGTACTCCTTCGCAGTCTCTACGAATGGAAAGCGGGGACGCTCGAACAGGGGGAGGGCGTGACTGATAGCAAGCTGCGCACCAGCATCGCGTGACTCCTATACAGAGTGGGCGAGCTCAGCAGCTGCAAAAGCCTCATGCGCAGCAGGCGTGGGGGCGTCAGGGAGGGCAGAAGACGGGTTGGAGCAGGGGAGCTTACCATCAATGTGCCATCCTAGCGCTGACCCTTCAGCTGGCGGTGGAGGTCGGCGAGCCATGCCTCAAAGTCGACTGCCCGACCCTCCGAGTCCAGGCGGAGAAAAGCTTCCGCCATCACCACAACTGCAGTAGCTGACAACTGTAAGAGGAGGGGGGGGGGGGGGGGGCAGGCAGGTGCTGTGAAGAATGGTAGAGAGCGGTGGAGTGCGATGGAGAGCAGTGGAGAGCGGTAGTGTTTGGTGGAGCGCGGTGAAGCCGCGGAAGAGGAGACAGTAGGCCGAATCGCCGGCTCAGAGTGGAACCAAAGCCGGCGGCGAGAGGGGGGGGGGGCAAGCTGGGGCGGCACGGTGGCCTGGGGCTGGTGGTGAGCCGAGCGGCACAGCGAGCTGGGGCCGGCCGCGGGGTCGGGCGGCGCGACAAGCTGGGGTCGGCGACAGGGCGGGCGGCTTGGCGAGCTGGGGCAGGATGCAAGAAGGGGCAGCGCGGCAGTCGGGGCCGGCGGCGAACCGGGCAGCGCGGCGAGCGGAGGTCGAATGCGGGCCGCCATGCAGCAAGGGGCCGGCGTAAGTTGGGATGGGCCTGGCGAGCTGGGGCCAACAAGCTGGGGCCGGCACGAGCTGGGGCCGGCGAGCTGGGGCCGGCACGAGTTGGGGCCGGCGAGCTGGAGCCGGCGAGCAAGGGGCGACGAGCTGGGGCGGCGATCTGGGGCCGGTGAACTGGGGCCGGCGAGCAAGGGGTCTTGCGGCGGACTAGGGGTCGCGCGGCACGCGGAGGCCAGCGGCAAGCTAGAGGCCAGCGGTGGGCTAGGAGCTGCGCGGCGCGCCAGGGGCCGGCAGCGAGCAAGGGGCCGCGCAGCGAGGAAAGGGGTCGGCGGCGAGCTAGGGGTGCTAAGGGTCGCGTGGTGCGCAAAGGGCCAGTGGCGAGCTAGGGGCTAGCGGCGGGCAAGGAGCCGCGAAGTGCGCAAAGGGCCGGCAGCGAGCAAGGGGCCGCGCGGTGAGCACGGGGCCAGCGGCGAGCTAGGGCGGCGCGCCTAAACGAGGCCAGCGAGCGGGCTAGGGCGGCGCGGTGGTACTAATGCAGGCTAGGGCGGAAGCGCGGATGGGGAGACCTAACCAGGGTTTCAGCTAGGACTTAAGGCTGCCTGATAACCAAACGTGGTTTCAAAGTTTGGTCTTACCATCAGACGAAAGTTTTCAAGGGCTGTGAGTTTTCATATTAAATTTAACGCAAGTTTGAAAAATCTTTTTTCTCAAGGACCGTCGTTGCTTGCAATTTCGACCTCGATTTGTTCGTTTCCTTTTTTCCTGCTCAGAGCATGTTCCTACGAGCATGGCCCTTTCTTGAGATCGCGCCCGAAGGTCCCCTGGTCAAGCTCATTTTATTTCAGTATCACATTCTCAACTGCTTTGAACCTGCTTGCATCATAATCGAGTTGTACACATTCGCGCCTCTCTAAAAAAGGTGCGCCATAGAAGAAGTTTAAGACACGCCCTGAACCTCGACAGTCTAAACCACGTGGAACCACATGGAACTGTTTTGTGTCAAAATTACACGGCACTATAGCGCGCGAGTCTTGAAAGGGGTATGGCTGGGAAGAGGCCGCAGGAAAACGCTTTGCATTAATTGGACGGGGGCCTTGGATTCAGTCAGGAACATCGCATGTCACGTGACGTGTCACATGCAGGCAGCCCCCTCTCCTTTTGCCCTGCCATTTCAGGGTTCGCCCCCGCCCCCAATCCGGTCAAGCGACGAAGCAAAAAAACAGTAGTGTGGAAGCAGGGTAGCGGGGATTTAGCCGGGAAAACCGGGCTGCGAGGGGCGAGTGGGGGAATGTTTCTCAAAGTAAGGGACTTCACCGAATTTTTGGGGTTGCGTGTCGTGTGTTGAGAAATGTCTCTAGTGTGGGGGGCTTAGCCATAATTTTATTGTTGCGAGGGGTGTGTGGAGGAATATCTCTGGTGTGGGTGACTTAGTCGGAAAAACTAGGCTTTCTAGGGGTGTGGGAGGAATGTATCTAGCAGTCGGGGACTTGGCCGGAAAAATCTTGGTTGGGGACGGGGGAGGGGGAGGGGTGGGGAAGGGATCAAGGAGGAATGTCTCAGACGAAAAAATCCGCTCTACCTGAATTCTTAGACTAAGTCTACACCTAGTCTGAACTTTCTGACGAAATCTTATGGCTTATTTGGACGATATAGCTCGTCAAAATATCATATGAACCGAAAAAAAAGGGTCTGATTTTTAGAGTATTAGACCGATTTCGTCTGATGTCTGAGACCCTGGACCTAATATAGTATGATACCATCTCAGAATAGCAAATTAAACTAGGTAAGGGCATACAGGGTGTTATTATGCTTGTGTGTTGTATTCTCTAAGAGCATGCACCTATCTAGCCTATAACTACAAATATAGAAGTTGACAGTAGCCAACGTTATTGGTGCTTTCATTTCTCTCTCTATCTCTATCTCTCTCTCTCTCTCTCTCTCTCTCTCTCTCTCTCTCTCTCTCTCTCTCTCTCTCTCTCTCTCTCTCTCTCTCTCTCTCTCTCTCTCTCTCTCTCTCTCTCTCTCACACACACACACACACACACACACACACATACACACACACGCACACACACACACACACACATTTCAACTGAGTAGTCCGGTTCCTTTGTGGTTGCTTTCCTGTATGATTAAAAGGTGTATACAGTGGATAACAACAGAGGTGATTGCTAGATTTCTCAAAATTGTCCAAACAGAAATAAATTCTAGGAGATTGTATTGAGCCTTGTTTGACTTAGGCTGATGGAGCTGATACAATATTTGGGATACTTTATCACGAATAATTATATCTCTGTATTTCTTGGTATGACTAATAGCTCATCTAAATTATTTTTGTAGCCTAGGTCTAACCAATCTAGTTAATTCTTGAAATACTGGGCAGTATGTATGCTGGAATGCATAATTCAGATTTGCGCATTAGTACAGATGCTCTGTGTTCACAGCGAAAGCTGTCAATAAAGGGTTCTCACTGCTGACTGGCTGGTTTGTTTCGCGAAATTGTTGCCCCTGCAACAAAGTTCGTCGGAGTCAGTCGTGCGAGTCTTTTCCGCACCTCTCAATCCCGCCAAGGGCAAAGCCACGTTTCCCTTTTCACCCCGCATGTTACGGCACGCACGCACTTCCCGTCAACGCGCCGCGTCTTGACCCAAACACACGCCACTCTCCTGTCGGCTTCCACACTTCCGAAGCGCTCGATATGCGACGCGATTGCAATTCGACATTTCCCTTCACACGAATTTAGCCAGCAGCACCACTCCCACGAGAAATCCTCTAGGCTGGCTGCCCGATAGAGCGATCATGCTTTTGTTCCTCCATCGCCGTTCGTCCTCGCTTCGTGCATTTTGCTGTAGCTGAAATTTTGCACCTGCTCAATTCGAATCTCCTTCCCCCCAAAGCATGCATACGCATCGACTTCGCAACACACACACTTGGAATGTCGTCGAGTTTTCCCCTGCTGAGTCTCTCGTCATCCTGCTTCACGCCCCTTGTCCTGCTCTCTGAAATCGCTCTGAAGAAATCGACAACAGTGAGACTTAGGGGCATTGCAACTCCGTTGCTCGTTAGCTCCCGTAGCTTCGGTCGCCTCACCCCAATGGCCACCTGAATTCCTAAATATATCTTCTGGTAGCGTGCCCTCTCCCGTGCGGGGAAACCAGGTAAAGATGGTGACGCAATTGCTATCGCACGAGCCGGGTAGAACAGACAAACGCACATCCGTACCATCTCGACCGTCCAGTCCGCACACGCCGCGATTCAACCCGTTCAGCGCATCGAAATCCAAACCTGCCCCCAAGTCCCCCTGCGCGGTTCCCGATGGCTCCGCGCCCAAATTCCTCAGCTTTCGTCGAAGCTTCTTCTCCCCGCGGTCCGCTTCTCGCCGCGTCCACAACATTCCCGAGATGCTAGTGTCGGCTTCCATGGCGTACGCCACGGCGCAAGTCCAGGCGGATAATCAGGCGGGTTTTCCGGCGGATATCCCTACGGATATTCACGCGGGATTACCGGCGGAATTCCAGGCGCATACCCAGGCGGAACGAGACGAAGCGACTGACACGTTCTTCGTGAGCCGACAGCGCGACGACAGCGTCGCGCGCGATAGATTCTCCCCGACTTCAAGCCTCTCCTCGTCTGCGCGGCAACCATCAACACTGCCGCATAACGCCATTCCGTCCCTTAGTCTGGACCCGCTGCTGTCGAGCGCGGGGATGCTCCCTGCGCGCAACCCGCCGCCCAAATCCGCGCGTGACCAGGGGGGAGCTTCCGCGGAGAAGCCGATATTGAGTCGACGGGCGGGGGAAGGGACTGCGCGAGGAGGGGCAGCAGGGGGAGGAGCAGCGGGGAAGGGAGAGAAAGGTGCGGAAGGGCCGGTGGGCGGGCGGAAGGAGGGGGTGCTGACCGCGGAGTTCACGGCGGAAGACGCGGCGGAAGAAACGGCGGCAGTGACGATTGCGCAGCGAGACGAGGAGACGGATGTGGAGACGAAAGAGACGCGGCTCCGTCGATTTCTCGATGACTCCGTTGACTGCGTTGACTGCGTTGACTCCGTTGACTCCGTTGACGGGCCCCGGAACGAAGCGGCGGAAGTCGTACCTGCCGACGTTGCAGCTGTCGCTGCGACCCAGCGCGCGCGGAAGAATGCGCGGAAGGCTCGGGGGAAGAAGACGGCTAAGAGGTCCACGGGGAAGAAAAAGGGCAGCGGCGCGGCTGAAAGCGCACCGCGACCGCAGCGCGACGGCGCGTTGGCGGCGGATATCGAGGCGCAAACTGCTGCTGACGTGGCATCGGAACCCACTGCAACGGGGGCATCAAGCAGCTTATTGGCGTCGCCGCTCGCGTCGGCCGCGGAGTCCGCACCGGCGGGAAGAACCGCGGTGGCGGAAGGCAGCGCGGGGGGGAACGGCGGACAAGAATCTTCGGACGACCACGACGTGGAGCTGGTTGCGGCGAGAGCGGCAGTCTCGGAAAACAGCGCCGTGGCGGAAAGCAGCGAGGTGGCGGAAAGCAGCGCGGTGGCGGAAAGGAGCGCGGTGGCGGAAAGCGGCGTGGTGGCGGGTAACGTGCCGCACCGCCTGAGCAGGCAAGACGCGGCTAAGTCGGACGGGGCGGAAAACAATGCTCGGGCAAAACATGGACGTCGTCTTACCGAGGTGGCTACTAGCGAATTGTGTGCGGATGACGTGGACGAGGAACTTCGCGCGTGCCTGGCGGGAATGGCGGCGGACGAGGAGGAGGAGATCCGATTGGAGCTGGAGAACGGCCTGCTGGTGGGTTCGAGCGACGGGGAAGCGGGAGAGGAGGAAGAGGAAGAAAGGGAAGGAGGGAGAGAGGAGTGTGAGGTGACTTTTGAGTTGACTCAAAAGAGAGAGGAGGAGAGTGAGCTCTTTCTCACCCGAGTCGTTCCTGGAGAAACCGAAGGTGAGGGTAGCGAGTGTGACGATAAGGAGGCGTTCCTGGAGCTGGAAATCGACCTGGTTGCGTTTCAGGAAGAGGCGGAAGGGGAGGACGAGGAGGCGGAGGAGGCGGAGAAGGAGAAGGGGGAGGAGGAGGAGGAGGAGGAGGAGGAGGAGGAGGAGGAGGAGGAGGAGGAGGAGGAGGAGGAGGACGGAGCGGGGGGAAACGCGGAGGACGAGGCGTTGGAGGGGAAGGGAGCAGAGCCGCAGCAGCCTGCTGCTCCCGCGGAGTCGCGTTTGGTGTGCGGCGCGGCGGATAGCGGGGAGACGGATTGTGATTATGAGGAGCGGCAGGAGGAGGAGCAGGCGGGGAAGCAGCAAGCGGAGGAGCAGGGGGGGGAGCAACAGGCGGAGGAGCGGGAGCAAGCAGTGACGTACGCGGGAGTCGGCGTGGCGAATCCGTGGAACAAGGCGGAGGAGAAAGGAGAGGCGGGGTTTCAGCTGCGCCTTTCCGCGGACTCCTCCGAGGAGGACGCGGAGTGGATCGCGCTGCTCGAAGAAAGCATGGCGGAGCGCGCGAGAGAGCGCCAGCGAGAGGCGGCGGAGCAGGAAGCGGCGGAACGGGAAGCGGCGGAACGGGAAGCGGCGGAACGGGAAGCGGCGGAACGTGAAGCGGTGGAACGGGAAGCGGCGGAGCTGGAAGCGGCGGAGAAGGTTGGCGGAAGACTGGACGAAGCTTGGGAAGAGGAGGCGGGCAGTGACGCGGAGAGTGCGGCGGAGGAGATCGAAATGATCAGTCCCAAGGGAAGCGCGCCGAGCAACCGAAGCGGCATGGCGAACCCGCGTATTGTGAGCAGGGAGGGCGACGGAGGCCGCGGAACGGGGAGTGCGGCGGGAAGCGCGAAGGGGGGGAGTGTGGCGGAGGAGAGTGAAATGGTCAGCCCCATGGGAAGCGCGCTCGACGCGCGCAGTCCGTATGACGTGGAGGAGGTGCAGAGTGACGTGGAAGAGGAGAGTGACGTGGAAGAGGAGAGTGACGTGGAAGAGGAGAGTGACGTGGAAGAGGAGAGTGACGTGGAAGAGGAGAATGACGTGGACGAGGAGAGTGACGTGGACGAGGAGAGTGACGTGGACGAGGAGAGTGACGTGGACGAGGAGAGTGACGTGGACGAGGAGAGTGACGTGGACGAGGAGAGTGGCGTGGAGGAGATTGATATGATCAGCAACCCGCGGAGTGGAGGGGGGGGGAGCGAGAGACGGAGTGAGACGGAGAAGGCGGGAAGGGAGTCAAATGATTATGAAGCTTATAGCGCGTATGAACAGGTTAAGACAGCGGGGGAGGAAGAGGAGGAGGAGAGAGAAGAGGGGGAGAGAGAGGAGGCGAGAGAAGGGGAGAGAGGGGAGGAGAGAGAAGAGGGGGAGAGAGAGGAGGTGAGAGAAGGGGAGAGGAGGGAGGAGAGAGAAGAGGGGGAGAGAGAGGAGGCGAGAGAAGGGGAGAGAGGGGAGGATAGAGAAGGCGGGGAGAGAGAGGTGGGGGAGGAGGGAACCGGGGAAGTAGCTGTTACGTTGCCTTCGCCCTTCCCTTCGCCCATCCCTTCGCCACACCACTCAGACGCCTCGTATCGGTCAACTGGGTCAAAATATTCCGCCAAGTCAACCAGGTCAACGGGCTCCACAGGATCAGCAGTCTCTCACAATTCACACGCATCTCAAGAGTCCAACAAGTCAACGCAGTCAACGGGGTCAAAGTACTCTGCCAAGTCAACGGGGTCAAAGCACTCTGCCAAGTCAACGCAGTCGACGGGGTCAAAGGCATCAGCAGGCTCTCGGACTTCACACGCGTACCAAGCATCCAGCAAGTCAAACCGAGCAGCTGCCGCCCAGCCCTTCCCTCCCTCCACCAGACCACTCCAAACAGCTACCATCACTGCTGCTGCTTTAGACGGCCTGCCCTTACCGTCTGTGACGTCAGCTGACGGTTTGATGACGTCTCCGACATCCCCGACATCCCAAACTGCCGCTTGCAACGAACGCTTCTCCCTGCCGGCTGCTGCCGACGTGCAGGTGTTTCATTTTGGCAAGAGCGGCAACCTCGGGACCGAGAGAAGAGGAAGGGAGAGGAGGAGGTTCGGGGGACGGATAGCAGCAGGTGGTAGGGCAATGGGACGAAGTGGCTCCAGCAAAGAGGGAGCAGGATTGGTGGTGGTTGGAGAGATGAAGCCTAAGAGCGGCTGCAGAGGGGGAGGAGGGGAGAGGAGGAAAGGGCGGAAGAGGCAGCGCGTGCGAGGGGGGGAGGAGTCGGATGAGAGTGAGAGTGATGGGAGTGAGAGTGATGGGAGTGAGAGTGGGGTGTTGCAGAGCGGTGTTGCTCTAGCTTCTGCTGCTACGCCTGCTGCTACTGCGCCTGCTGTCGCTGCGCCTCCTGCTGCTACGCTTGCTGTTGACACTAACTGGCAACAGCAGCAGCAGCAGCAGCAGCAGCAGCAGCAGCAGCAAGAGCAGAAAGGGCAGAAAGAGCAAGAGCAGGCGGAGCAAGCGGGGCAGATGGGGCAGATGGGGCAGCGGAGGCAGAGCGACGGGTCCATGACGTCATCTCCCATTGGAAGAGGGACACGTGGCGTTAGCAGCCCGGCTCAGAAGCAGACACGTGGCAACGGCGGCAGCACACGTGGCATGAGCAGTCCAGCAAAAAGTGGGAGCAGCAGTCCCATGATTATCAATCACAGCAGCAGTACCAGCAGCACTTACACAAAACTGGGTGGGAGCAGCACCAGCCGAAGCAGCCAGGCAGCAACTTCTGGCGACAGCAAGAGCAGCAGGGGTGTTCTTGTTGGGACTAAGGGGACAATAAAGGGAAATGCTGTTACAGTAACGAGCACCGAGGGCACAGTAAACGGTAATGAGGGGGCAGTAAACAGTACAAGGCAGGTGAAGAGCAGGGAGAGGAGGAGAGGAGATGCCGTGAGCAACAGGAGTGGTGGTGGCAGTGTGGTTGCTGCTGCTCGTTTGTGTGACCAGTATTACAACAGTAGCTGCAGCGAGGGGGTGTACAGTGAGTCAGAGAGTGGTGACACAAACGGGAGTGGTGGCAGCAGGCGGAATGGTGTTGGCAGTGCGCAAGTCAAGGGGGCGAGGAGCGATGCCTTGAATGGCCACGGAGTGAGGGGCAGTAGCAACAGGAGCATCAGCATCACCAGCATCAGCAGCATCGGCAGCAGCGTTGGTGCGAGCAGCAGCATGGCAAAGTCACCCATCAGTATGGCAAAGTCACCCGGCATCAATGCAATCAGCGTAAAAGAACTCAGCAGCAAGACGAGTAGCAGCAAAGCTCTTAGCAGCAAAGCAAGCAGCAGAGCAAGCAGCAGCCACACCCCATCTGGCAGCACAGGCACCAGAAACGAGCTGCGTGCATGCAGGAAGCTGCTGCCGCCCAAGTATATTCCCCATGTGTCCACCTCTTCAGCTACAACCCCTGCTACAGACGCTGCCATGGCCCCTGCCGCACATGCTACAGCTCTGGCTACAGCCTCTGCTACAGTACACTCCCCAGCTCACGTTACGACGACTTCCAAGCCATCCATCACCACCGCTCCTATCCCCATCTCCACCGCTCCCAATCCCACCCTTAGCGCTCCTAACCGCACCACTTCTATCACGTCCCGCCATTCCCTCTCCTCCTTCCCTCCGCCCAGTCCCCCCACGTCCTTCCCCTCCCCCGCCCTGAGTGCACACCACCTGCTCTCCGTCTTCCCCCCGCCCTCCCCTGAAGCTGCCTTGCGCTTCCTCTGCTCCCCCTCCTTCCCCCCGCCCTCCCCTGGCTGGCCCCTGCGGAAGATCCGCGTGGTGGGGGGAAACAGGCGCCCTGTCTACTCCCCCGTGCACAGGCTCAGCAGGAAGAGCGGGGGGGGAGCAGGGGGAGGGGGAGAGATGGGGGAAGTGGGGGGAGGAGGTAGGGGAGGGTGTGGGAAGTGTGGGGGGGAGTTGAAGATGTGTAGGCCGCTGGGGAGACTGGAGGAAGGGGAGGGGAACGAAGGGGGCGGGGAAGGGGGAGGGTGTGGAGAGGTGGGGGGCGAGGGAGGGAGGAAGAGGAGTGGGAAGCAGCGGCGGTGGAGCAAGGTGGTGGAAGTGCCAGTGGCTGTGTTCACTCGGAACGAGTATGACACGAGAAGGGCGAGAGGGGCAGGGACGGTAAGAAGAGCAACGCCAGCTGCAACGCCAGCAGCAGCAGCAGCAGCAGCTACAGAAACAACAAGGAGGCAGCAGGAGCCGGCGGAGTCGGGCGAAAAGGGGAGCGGAAGCGGCAAAAGAAAGCCGCAGAGTGTTCTGAATCGTCTCCGAATGATTCGCTGTGAGTCAGAGAGCCCTCCCCACCCTCCACAGCAACTCCATGCTCACAGCCACTCACCCGCTGGCCTCCTCTAGTTCCTCACTCACAGCTACCAATACTCATGCATATAGTCACACCCACCAATACTCACACGTACACAGCCACCCACCAATACTCACATGTGTATAGTTGCATCCACCTGCTCCTATTGCGCTTCCCCTAAGAAATCCGCACATTTCTCAGGGCACCACCCCTCACCTCCCTAAGCTCTATCCTTCATCCGTCCTGCCTCTTATCGTTGGCTTGCCTTCTCCATCATTCCAGTTCACATCTGTGCAGGGTTTCGGTTTCCTAAACACTGACTTGCTTGTCTCCTGGCGGGCCATCGGCAGCAACCTTCTCTTCTCCGTCTCCCCTCCCTCTTCTCCCTCCCTCCTGCTTCCCCCATCCCCATCAGTGCGACCTCCCGTCATCCTTCTCGCCTACTGGCGGGCCATTCGCAACAGCACACAGCCAGCCTTCCTCTCTCGAAAGGCGATCAAGTCATCATCAGTAAGTGCAATCTCCCCTACTTTGTCTGGTGTGTCTACCCGCTTTAAACTGAAGCACTGTGGTTGTTGTGTTGCTGCATGTACCACACTCACTTCCGCCTTTTGATTGCGTCCTTCCAGGAATAAACTCTCGTGGCTGAATGAGCCGCTTCGAACTCCTGCCATGCCAACCCCTAAATAAATAACCAGGCAATTTGATTTGACAGTCATACTGCTGGAGTTGCCTGGCTCAGCAGTCTTTGTTTGTTTAGCTTCTTCAGGCTCGGGTCAGGAGAGGTACTTTCCATCGCCCATATAGCTTGAGGTTATTGGGTGCTTGTAAAATAATACTTATACATGTTGCACACCTGAACAAACTCAAACCGCTATTGCCGAACCGTGGGGGGCCGGGGGCACACCTGAGTTGACAAATTGTACACCATGAAGGGCATGGCCCACGTATGCATATTACATATTGATACACGCAAATACATACCACATCTGCTATACACGGAACACCGTGTTCTGCGGCTGTTGGCGCCGCTCAAGAGGATGTCCAGTCCAGAGAGCTTCGAGTGGCATCTGAAATTGCATGCTTCGAGGCTTGTGAAGGAACCTTCCGAGGATCCTCAACAACACGCCGCAAGCACCTTAATGCTGTGGACCTAAGCAGCACCTTAATGCTGTAGGCCTAGGCAGGGATGCAGATGGGCATGCCCTCGAAGAGGCTCTGCGAGCGGCACACCCACCCGCGGTTGAGCTGCTGCACCAGCGGGGGCTGGCGCTTGAACTGCGCAACCACGAGCGACGCGCAGCTGTCGCCCCCCGCCACTGTGTACTTGCGGTTCGTGATGGTCTTCGACCGCACCTTGCCGCACGCCACTGCTCCTAGAGGCGTGCCCTGCGTGCAGATCTGGGGATTGGGGCAGAGGGGCGGACGGAGGGAGGGAGGGAGGGAGGGAGGGAGGGAGGGAGGGAGGGAGGGGGAGTTGAAGTATTGAGCCTGGGTTGAGTCGGTGCAGGTCAACACATTCCCCTTGTACCAACCGTTCCTTACATCCGAGCTGGTAAGAGAGCTGAGGGCATCGCAGTGGACGCCCGGGTCGAGTCGATAGAGGTGCAGCGACGACACGCCCCACCTCTGAACGTTGTTGCCGCTCCTGACCCACGCGCTAGAGGTGCTGAACGTTGTTGCCGCTCCTGACCCACGCGCTAGAGCCCCCACTCCGCTTTCCTCACACACCTTCACCTCTCCTCCAGCCACAACACCTGTTCTCACCTCCGAGTTGGTAAGAGAGCTGAGAGCATCGCAGTTGACACCCGGGTTGAGGCGGTAGAGGTCCAGCCACGAGACGCCCCACCACTGAACGATGTTCTCGCAGCTGATAAACTCGCCCACTGCCTGGTAGTTGGTGCACAGGTTGTAGTCCTCCACGCCTGACACTGCGTCTCCCACCTGGATGCAAATCTGGAAGAGGAGGAAGAGGAAGCAAAGACAGGAGGGGAGAGGGTCAGAAAGGCAGGGGAGGAGAGGGGGGGCAGGTCACCTGCTCCCACCACTGCCTGGTAGTTGGTGCACAGGTTGTAGTCTTCAACGCCTAACACGGTGTCAACTACCTGATTGCAGATCTGATAGGGGGAGAGGGTAAGAAAGGCCAGGGGGGAGAGGGTAAGAGAGGCCAGGGGGGAGAGGGTAAGAGAGGTAGGGGAGGAGAGAGGGAGCACGAGAGCCACTCGCCCACTGCCGGGTAGTTGGTGCACAGGTTGTAGTCCTCCACGCCTGACACGGCGTCAACCACCTGATTGCAGATCTGATAGGGGGAGAGGGTAAGAAAGGCCAGGGGGGAGAGGGTAAGAGAGGCCAGGGGGGAGAGGGTAAGAGAGGTAGGGGAGGAGAGAGGGAGCACGAGAGCCACTCGCCCACTGCTGGGTAGTTGGTGCACAGGTTGTAGTCCTCCACGCCTGACACGGCGTCAACCACCTGATTGCAGATCTGATAGGGGGAGAGGGTAAGAAAGGCCAGGGGGGAGAGGGTAAGAGAGGCCAGGGGGGAGAGGGTAAGAGAGGTAGGGGAGGAGAGAGGGAGCACGAGAGCCACTCGCCCACTGCGGGTAGTTGGTGCACAGGTTGTAGTCCTCCACGCCTGACACTGCATCACCTGCCTGAGCGCAGATCTGGAATCGGAGTGGAGGGACACGGAGATACGGGAGGAGAGGGCACATACTGGTGGTCTGCTGCGCTGAGACTGCATTGCCTAGCACCACCGACATGCACACATCACACTGCGGTTTTGAGGCGTCTCAAATCTATACTGCATTGCCTACCGCCAACAGGCACACATCAAACTGCAGTACCTCCCCTTCTTCCCCCGGTGCCTCAACCGCCTCAGGTGCCTCACTTGCTGCCCCAACCGCCCCCCACACCTGCTGGCCCGGCACGAGCTGCGAGCAGTCGAGGTTGGCGTTGTTGCTCGAGACCTCAATGCCAAGTGGGCGATGTGGGGCACTTGGCGCTGCTGTAAGGTGTAGGTATGCCTCCCCTGCTGCCCCCACCTTTCTCCCCTGCTCCCCCCATCGCTTCCCTTACCTGCTGGCCCGGCACGAGCTGCGAGCAGTCGAGGTTGGCGTTGATGGTCGTGACCTCGACGCCGAAGCGAGAATTGATGGCGTCACAGCTCTGGGAGGCGGCGTCCGACTGATTGGCATGAGGGAGAAGGGAGATGGGGGAGGGGGGGTTGGGGGGAATGGAAGAGGGGAGAAGAGGCAATGGGATCAAGGGCATGAAGCTGGGATGCAGTGCGGTGCATGGTGGCGATCTCAGTGCCGACCGAGTGGACGTTGATGCGCTTGCAGCCCTTCCAATTGTTGACTACAAGCATTGTACCATGGTTACAGGATAACCCATCAGGGTGGCAGTGTAACCATGTATCGTCCCCCGAGTTACAGCATGCTCATACCCACAGTTACAGGGTAACGCACCATTGTTATGGTGTATCGCACGCGGCACACTTGCGCAGACGCAGGGATGGAGATGTTGAGCACCTGGCCCTGCTTGAGATTCTCACAGTCCATGCCCTGATGGGTGGAGGGGGGGGGAGGGGAGGGGGGGAGACTGGTGGTATTGAGATTAGAAACAGGTTAGACCAGAAGTAGGGAGGCAGATGTTGAGCACTTGGCCCTGCTTGAGATTGTCGCAGTCGTCGCAGTTGACAGGGATCTCTCCTGCCCTCACCGTGATGACTTTTGAGCCGACTCAAAAGCCAATGAAAGCGAGCAGCTCACCTTGTTCTGTTGCAAAAACTGCTCCTGAGTGAGGCCGATGAAGGCGTAAATGGAGCTACAGGTCTCCCCTCCCTTCACCGTGTACGTGCCCTGCACTGCTGATGCTGTGTTGCCTGATAGCTCTGCCACGTGTCAAGGGGGATGCAAGACGGGTAGAAGGAAGTCCGCATGTGCCATATTGGTGCGAGCAAAGCAAACCATGCAGCTCTCCCCCTCCCTTCACCATGTACGTGCCGTGCACTGCTGATGCAGTGGTGTCTGATAGCTTTGCCATGTGTGAAGGGAGACGTAAGGGTATCATGCAGAGCATATGGGAAATAATTGTCACCTCTCCTTTATGAGAATTCTCAAAAATTGGTCTGTCCGGAAGCCAGCTGGCTGGGCTAGTACTTGGGCGGCCAGAGGCAGGAGCAGAATGGGAGGCACCTTCCGTCCTAGGAGCTATCGTACCCCTCTCACCTGGAACACAGGTGGTTTGTCCCGATGCCAGCTTGCTGGGCTTGAAGTTGGGAGGGCAGAGGCAGGAGTAGCCGCCGTCGCCGCTGTTGATGCACTTGCCCACGCCGCAGGGGTTGACGGGGAGCACGCCGCAGATGTCCACTGGAGGAGTGGAGGGAGGGAGGAGGGGGGAGCGAGAGAGGGGGGAGAGAAGGAGGGAGCATGTTACTAGGGGGGCAGCGGCAGGGCTAGGGGTTGTTGCTGGTGTTGATGCACTGGCCCACGCCGCAGGGGTTAACGGGAAGCATGCCACAGATGTCCACTGTTTAGGAGGAAGGGGGGAGGAGGGGGGAGAGAGAGAAGGAGAGAGGATGACACAAGGAGGTATGTGGCAGGAGCAGGCGCCATCACCGGTGTTGATGCACTTGCCCACGCCACAATGGGTTGATGGAGAAACAGCCGCAGATGTCATCTGTTTAGGTGGAAGGAGGGAGGAGAGGGGAGAGAGAGAGAGAGGGAGGGAGGGATGAGGCAGGAATAGGCGCCATACCATACTGCATGCACCAAACCACACTGCATGCACCATACCATACTGCATGCACCATACCATACTGCACGCACCATACCGTAATCCATGCACCATACCATAATACATGAACCATACCATACTGCATGCACCATACCATACTGCGTGCACCATACCATACTGCATGCACCATACCATACTGCACCATACCATAATCCATGCACCATACCGTACAGCATCCACCACATCGTACACAGCATGCATGTGGGCGTGCCATCGCGGTTGGTAGTGTGCACCGGCGGGTCGGGGCACTGGCAGGTGTAGCCGCTGGCCCTTCCAGCATGCCCAACACTACACGCAGGCTGCATTCCCATTGCCCAACACTACACGCAGGCTGCATTCCCATTGCCCAACACTACACGCAGCCTGCATCCCTTCAGTCTTACCCAGCGTGCATGTGGGCGTGCCATCGCGGTTGGTAGTGTTCACCAGCGGGTCGGGGCACTGGCACCTGTAGCTGCTGGTCCCGGCCTCGACCTGCAGGCACACGCCCGCCCCACAGGGGGATGTGGTGCAGGGGTCGGTGCCCGCAGGGACTGGGGGAGGGGGGGAAGGGGGGGTGGGGAGTGGGTGGGGTGGGGGGTTGGGCTGTTACGAGGACAGGGATTAGAAGGAGAAAGGTAGACTCTAAAGTAGACAGTGTCCATTCTCCCCCCGGTGCGACCCCCAGCTGAAACTCCCCCGCTCCTCGTAGGAGTCTATTTTATAGGCGCCTCAGAAAGGAACTCCCCGGCTCCTTGTAACTTCTTGGCGCTCCCTGGCTCCTCCTAGTTATACCCAACAGCACAGCGAGCATCACATGGTTGAGCCAACACCTGCCTAGGATCAAAGAAGAGATGCTTTTGGAAAAAGTCTCACCTGGGACAACAGGGTACAGGCCCCGGTTCACCAGCATGCCGCACGTGCCGAAAGGAGCGTTCTCCATGCGAATGCGCATGTACCCGCCCTCGCCCCAGTTGGGCCCCCAGCTGTTCTTGAGGACAAAGTAGTTCAGGTAGCTCCCAGGGGAGTCGTAGTTGTACCCCACGGCCAGCATCACATGGTCGAGAATAGCCGTGTTGTTGGTCGCCACGGGCGTTGCCCCGGGCTCGCCGCTCGACAGCCCGTTGATCGACCCCACCGGGCTGTAGCACCCGTAGCCCTGGAAAATGCCTCCCTGCCAAGCGGGACAGGGAAGGGAGGAAGGAAGGAATCCGCGGGTGGGCGGCAGTTCCCGACCCCCCACTGCCTCGTAGTAGTTATACGGTACACCCCACGGCCAGCATCACATGGTCGAGAATGGCCACACAACAACACCATAACAGACGGAGGGGCACACAGCTGACACACAACTTACCGAGTAGGAGATGAAATCTTCAGAGGAGGCGCGGATGGTGACTATAACAGGCTGCTTCTGCAGCGCCAGGATGAGCCCCAGAGGCCCCGGTAGAGGCACCTGCTCGTACAGCGTGATGGGCCACTTGTCCTGGGGGGGGGGAAACGGAGGAGAGAGGGGAGAGAAGGGCGAGAGGGGCAAGGGGGGCGATAAAGAATGTGGGGAGAGAAGGGCGATTAAGTGCATGGGGAGAGAGAGGAAGAATGGCCCAAGGATGAGCCCCAGAGGCCCTGGTAGAGGCACCTGCTCGTACAGGGTGATGGGCTGCTTGTCCTGGGGGAGGAAGAACGGGGCGAGGGGGGCAAGAGGGGGGCAAGAGGGGCGACAAAAGCGACAGGGGCAAGAGTTTTGAGATGTCTCGAAACTTGAGAGAGCGGCGAGAGGGATGATAAAGCAAGGATGAGGGGCGCAGGGAGAGATGGGGCATGAACCAAGGATAAGCTTTGGAGGCCCCCGGTAGAGGCACCTGCTCGCACAAGGCACCTACTGTATCGTTGGTAACGCGTCCTCGTTTAACTCCCATTCTCCTGTCCTTCTATCGCACCATCTCCTACTGGCACTGCACTTCTCGTTGACCCCAGTGCGCGGGTAGCTATCCTCCCTCCGCTGCCCGTGCTTAACCTTACGCTGTAGCAACGCGCTCTCTCCCCCTCCCCTGGCCCCTCCTCTCATCCTCCCATCCTTCTCACCATGTCTCTATTCACGCTGCACTTCCCATTCACCCCAGTGCGCGTGTAGCTGTCCTCGAGCTGCAGCCCGTTCTTAACCGCATGCTGTAGCAATGCGCTCTCTCCCCCTAACCCCTCCTCTCATCCTCCCATCCCGCTCACCATCTCTTTCTTGACGCTGCACTTCCCATTGACCCCAGTGTACGTGTAGCTGTCTTCGAACTGAAGCCCGTTCTTAACCGCGTACTGCAACGCGTTCTCAGGGTACCCGCCTCTGCACGTGGCAGCAGCGCCAGTGCAGTCCACCAGCTGCTGCACCGACAGGGCGGCGCCCTCGGGGTAGGTGGAGGAGGCGAAGGTCATATAGGCGCCCTGAATCGCCCTCGCCACTGCGTAGGCCCAGCAGGAGCCTGCAGAGGGAGGGAAGGCAGGGGAGGGAGGGCAAGGGAGGGGGACGGAAACAGTCATGTGGTGGGGGTACTGTGGCGTTTGAGTGGCAGCAGCAGCGCCAGTGCAGGTGAGCCCCGTGGTCCGTCAGGGTACCCGCCTCTGCACGTGGCAGCAGCGCCAGTGCAGTCCACCAGCTGCTGCACGGACAGGGCGGCGCCCTCGAGGTAGGTGGAGGAAGCGCCCTGAATGGCTCTTGCCACCGCATAGGCCCAGCAGGAGCCTGGGTCGGGGGAGGGGAGGAAGGGGAGACGGGAGACGGGGGACAGGGGGACAGGGGGACAGGGGGACAGGGGGACAGGGGGACAGGGGGACAGGGTGATTGAGTGGCAGGCAGTCCGCCAGCTGCTGCGCGGATGGGGGGCGCAATCGGGCTAGGCCGAGGTGAAGGGGGCATGTGCTCCTTCGATGGCTCTTGCCACAGCATAGGCCTAGCAGGAGCCTGGGAAGGTGGGGGGGAGAATGGGGGGGAGGGGAACCTCGGGCATCTGAGTCGACAGTTGCCAGCCATCGCTGACCAGGGCAACTTTGGACAACAATGGTCAACAGCACTCGCCACAGTTGCCCCGGTTGACCTCATTATCGGGCAGTCAATGGCAGTCAACAGCTGTCAACAGTAGTGGTGGCAATCAACGCCAGTCAACACGGGTCAGCACCAGTCAACAGCAGTCAGCGGCACTCACCGCAGTTGCCCTCATCGACTCGTCCTCTGGCAGGAGATTCCAGCAGCGGTCAATGCTCCGTTGAAGCTCCAGGAGAGCTGCTCACCTCACTAGTCAACGCAGGTCAAGACAGTCAACGCCAGTGAACAGGGGTCAGCAGGTGCACTCACCGCAGTTGCCCTGGTCAAACTCGTCCCCTGGCAAGAACTTGGTTCGGTGGTCAATGCTCCGCTCAAAGTTCCAGGACAGTTGCTTCGTGACAGGGTCGACGGTGAGCCCCATGGTGAGGTAGCGCGACACCGTGTTGAGGTTGGGGAGACTGGCTGGGATGAAGCGAGCAGGGGGAGCGAGACCCAGGCTGGGGTCTGGGGGTGGGGGGGGTGGGGGGGTAGGAGTGGGTGTGTGAGAGGGGGGGGGAGGAAGAGAGAATAGGAAGTAGCTTTCGTGAGAACCCATGGCAGCAGCGAAGGATGCTCCAGGAGAGGTGCTTGGTGGTGGGATCCGCGGTGAGCCCCATGGTGAGGTAGCGCGACACCGTGTTGAGGTTGGGGAAATTGGCGGAGATGAAGCGAGCGGGGGGAGCGAGACCCAGGCTGGGGTCTGGGGGTGGGGAGGGGGGAGGGAGAGGGGGGGAGGCAGAAGGGGCTGGATTCCCTCCTAGTGTGCACAGGAGTTGGTGCCACAATGGCACCATCCACAGGTGCACCAGAGCTCCAGGAGAGGCAGTACCGGAATCGCCGCATTGCAGCAGAGAGAGAGAGAGTCCGAGGCTGGGATTCAGATTCCACCCCACCGCATTCCACCCCACCGCATCCAACCCACCACAATCAAGTTTTTAGCCTGCACGCTCTTCCCCGTCCCCTTCCCCTTCCCCTTGCTGCTTCCCCCCCGGGTCTTCCCCCACACCGCCTGCACACGCCGCTTCACAATCGTTACCCCACGCCCTCTTCTCCACTAATCCTACCCCATTGCACTCCTTTCCACTCCGCTTCACCCCATTTCACCCCATTTCACCCCATTCCAACTCTTAGTCCCACCCAAGAATGCCTACCAACAGCAGTAGACTTGTTGGCCTGCACGCTGTTCCCCGCGCTCGCCCCCTTCCCCTTCCCCTTGCCGCTTCCCCCCCGCCGGATCTTCTCCCGCACCGCCGCCACGCGCCGCTTGACCTTCGCGATCCACGCGCGCGCCGCTTTCGCGAACGCGTCCTTATTTAAGAACGCCGCCGCGACGGGCGGCAGGCCGATGCCGCTTAAGTCGACGAGGCTCAGCTGCGCCGCGAGGGCTTTAATCTCCAGCCGCGTCTTCGTGTCCACGCCCAGCGCCGCGAGGTCCAATCCCGCGCTGCCAGCTGTCGCCTGCGCGGAGGTCGCCGCGCCGCCCGACGCGGAAATCGAGGTTGTGATTTTAACGGATGCGTCTGCAAGGGGGCGGGAAATGAGGATACGTTACGTTACTAACGCGTATTCAACCGCATACTCAAACGCATGCTTTCTGGAAATCCCATCTAAATACACCACATCACTCTGAGTATCGACGCCCATCCTCCAAGGATCTTCCCCCGCCTCCGTGTTTCCCCCGCCATCGCGCCTCCCCCCAACCTTTCCGCGTCCCCCAGCCTTTGCGCGTCCCCCAACCTTTGCGCGTCCCCCCACCTGCGCGTCCCCCCACCTCTGCACGCCTCTCTCTGCGCTTACCTTGCATTCTCCGCCGGCCGCAAAGGGCGGGGAGCGGCGCCGCGGCGATCAGCAGCAAGACTGCTAATCGCTGCGCGATTGCTAGGAATGCCGAGCCGCGACGATACATGGCGTCGTAAGCGCGGAGATTTCAAGGAGGCTGCGCACCTCCTACCTACAAGTGCCACGGCGACTCGGAAGTGTTCTCCTGGCCGAGTACGGCGCGGCGTGGGCTGCACAAGAACGTCGTAGAAGTGGCGAAGCGGGCCGCGAGCGGGAGCGGAGCGGAAAGTGCTCCGCGAGAGCGGGAGTCCCCAGGCTACTTGGTGACCCTGGCGGCGAGCGAGTGGACCCTCTTCGAGTCGGGACCGCTGGTTACCATTGCGAATCTACTTGGCTCACGCTCTTCGTGCTGACACTACCTTGATTTCGGCTTGTCCGCGAGTCAGTTTATATCGCGCGGCTAGGATTGGTTTCGCGCGAGCTACGAGCCAATCTATAAGGAGCCACGTGGTTTGAGAGAGCGGGTACGCGTGGAAGCTCGAGCAGCGGTGCTAGACTAGCGGGCGTCCAACGCGAACGAGATGGCCACGGAATGAAGCGAATCAGAACGACGTGCGAGCGTCGACTTGAAGGCTGCCCAACTCCTGTGAACGTCAAATCGAGCAAAAAAAAGGTTGCGTGTTAGAACAGATACATACGCGGTTCACCTGAAGCGGTTTTCTCCTGCCACGTCTCGTTTCAACGCTTTGCCACAATCTAGCAGCGAGTGGCCTGTTGAACGCGTCTCATCTCCATGGACTTCACTTCGCAAGTTCACACACACACCCTCCTCCTATCCTCTCTCCCCTCATCTGTAAATCCGAACAGCACTACTGTACACCGTCTCTCCTATTGGGTCTTACGATTTTGTACGCGTTTCAAGCCCGTAAGCAGGAAACGGTCAAACCCAGGCAAACAAGACATTGAAGGGGAAATCCAATAAGCACTGTTAATTAGTAACAAAGTCTCGCTCATGAACCAGATAGTTTGCCCGCGTGACGTCCCAGCTCGGATTCTCGCAATTGTCGAAATAAGACTTAACTGTTCGTTATCGTACAGACTGCAGCCAATCAGGTTCAGTGTCAACGCGAGTCTGCTGAGAAGCTGGTAGGTGGCATTACAAATCTGAACTGTTCCGGATGATCATTAGAAAACAACAGGTGTAGTGCACACATGCTACTCCAAAAGCAGGGTGACTGAAAAAAATGGAGGCGAGGCGAGCTGAGACGGGGAGGGGCGGGGGCGGGGGCGGGGGCGGGGGCGGGGGCGGGGGCGGGGGCGGGGGCGAGGTGAGGGGAAGCAGGCGGCAAAAACGGCGGGAGCGAAAAGGCTGCTGGTGCACTTGCGAAGGCTGAACGCGGGGTTGAGCGAAAAAAGCCAAGCAAGGAAGCCCGTCCCCCATATCTGGCAGCAGCACAGGTGAAAGCGCAGTCAAACCCTCGAGACTCTGTGGTGATATTTTTTTGGTTTGGTTTTCTCAAAATTCGCTAGGTCTGATGATCGTCGTATGCTTAATATATGCTGAAATATAAGCATGCAATATATATACATGCGCTCCAAAATTCCTCGCGCAAATGCATCAGACCTGTATAACATATTCTGAGACAAAATTTAGTATCGGACACTGCATTGTTAGAAGTATGCTGCACTTTTACTGACATCAACCATTCATGAGGCCATGTTCTAAATAGGCTGCACTTGGTCGCGTCCTTAGCATGATTAGACCCAGAAACTCAGGGCATTCGTAGTTTCAAAAGAAACAATGATGGGCGGTAAACAGGTAGGCGCAGATCGCCGCGCCGCTTCAACAAAAATCGCTCACCTGAAGGACTGAAGGAAGCTGCTCTCACACCTGCGAGCCTCCCGCTTTCCGCACTTCGCGCTTGTCCAGCTTATCACCCTGCGCCCTGTCTGCAACTCTGTGAGTCAAAACGAGTGTACCGTTACAAGTTAGGGTATCTCACATTCTAGTGTATCTCATATTCTAGTCACTTCGCTAATTTGACATGGTATCACGCTAGGTTAGGTTCTCCCCGCCCATCCGCGCTTCCGCCCTAGCCCTAGACCTAGTCGTCCGTAGCTAGCCGTCTGTCGCTGGCCGCCCGTAGCTAGCTGCCTGTAGCCGCTTGTCGCCTAGCACGCGCTTGCCCGGCGATCGCCAGCCCCGCACCTGCTGGTCCCGTACTCACTAGCCTCGTGCATGCTGGCCTCGCGCCCGCCTAGCCCGCGCCTGCTGGCCCCGCATTTTCCAGCCCTGCGCCCGCCAGCCCAGCGCACTCGTCAGCCCCGTCCCCGTCGGCCCCGCGCTCGCCAGCCCCGCGCCCGCTGGCCCTGCACCCGCTGGCCCTGCGCCCGCTGACCCTGCTTTCGCCAGCCCCGCGCCCGCTGGCCCTGCGTTCGCCAGCCCTGCGCTTGCCAGCACTGCGCCCGCCGGCCCCTGCGCTTCCTGGCCCCGCCCCTGCCAGCCCGGCGCTTGCTGACCCAGCGCCCGCCAGCCCTGCGCCTGCTGGCCCCGCGCCCGTTCGTCCCCGCTCGCCGCCAGCCCTGCGCCCGCCGGCCCCTGCGCCTCCTGGCCTCGCTCCTGCCAGCCCCGTGCTTGCTGGCCCAGCTCCAGCCAGCCCTGCACCTGCTGGCCCCATGCCCGCCCGTCCTCGCTCGCTGGCCCCGCGCCTGCCTGCCCCGTTGCCCCAACCCTGCACTCCTGCCGACCCCAGCTCCGTCGGCCCCCTCTCCGCCGGCCGCAGCTCCGCCAGTCGCAGCCCGCCCCGACCCCTCCTACCGACGAGCCAAGCTGACTTGCCGGCCTTGGCTCCCCCTCTGAGCCGACGCTCCTGCCGGGTAGCTCCACCGCTCTCCACCGCATTCCACCGCTCTCCACCGCACTCCACTGCTCTCCACCGCACTCCACCGCTCTCTACTGCTCTCCACCGCTCTCCACCTCTCTCCACTGCCTTCCTCCACTTTCCCTCCTCCCCTTGTCAGCCGCCGTCAGCTGCTGCAGCCATGGAGATGGCGGACTCTCTGCTCCGCTTGGACGCGGAGGGTCGGGCCGTTGAGTTTGCGGCGTGGCTCGTCGACCTCCGCCGCCAACTGACCAGGCAGCACCAGGACGACCACTCCCTAGCAGTCCATGTCGACGGTAATCTTCCCTCGCCCCGCCCCGCATGCTACCCTCCCTAACGCCCCCACGTCTGCTGAGCGTGAGGTTTTTGTCGCTGCTGAGCGTGCCTGCGCTATCGGGAATTCGCGCGACGCCATTGCTTAGCTTGCCATTAGTCACGCCAACCTCCTGTCTGAGCGTCCCCGCTTTACTACTGTAGCAAACACCAAGGAATACTTAGATGCTATCATCGCGCACTATTCCACCCTTTTTTCAGCCTCTACTGGCCGCCTTATCCTCCTTATGCTGTTCCCTGATCTTGCATCCATCCCCACTCTTGCTGACCTTGCCTCTCACCTCCGCGCACTAGAGTCTAGCTACCGCACTGCTAGCACTAAGGCGCAATTCACTGCCTTTCTGCCGCCGCTTTGCGCTTCCCATTACCTTATTGATACACGCCTTCCTGATTGCCTAGCCACTGCCCACCACCACTTTCTTAGTCAGCACCTAGCTGACCCCACCCTTGCCGCCTTTCTCACTGCCCTGTCCGCAATAGAGACCCGCCAGCGCACTATCGCCCAGTCTAGCAGTACTGCGCCGGTCCCCATCCTCCAGGGCTGTGCTCCCTCTAAGTTCACTTACTTTGATGCTTCTGCCGCTGTCACTGAGACAGCCCCTGCTGCTGAGACCACTGCTGCGGCCTCAGCGCAGCAGTGTCAGGGTAGGGGCCGCCGCCCCAAGGGGGAGCGTGGCGGAGGGAAAGGTGGTGGGGATGTTGGGGGTGGTGGAGGTGGAGGCTGGGATTGTAGTTCAGACAGGGGGACCGGGGCTGGCAGCAGCCTCAGCAATAGCAGAAGTAGCAGCAGCAACAGCAGCAGCAGTCGCAGCTGCAGCACCTGTCGCCGTGGTGGACTGGCGGCGCTAGTGGTGGTGGGCATGGTGGTGGGGGGCGGAGCTCAGTGTCGGGTGGGAACTCCAGTGTGGTCACCTGCCAATACCAACTTCAGTCCTGCCTATGCCGCGGCAACGTCTGCGACCGTCCCGGGCACACCGCCGCCCGCTGCTACCGCCGCCTCGACGACCTCTTCGGTCTCTGCTTCGGCCCCACGGCGGACCCCTCCAACTCGTACAACCTGGTGCGTTGTCGTGTGCCTATCTTTGAGATGGACATGGATCAGATCAGGTCCGCTTGGTATGTCATGTATGCTGATGACTCTAGTGTGACTGGACCCTATTACTCGGTGTTGCCTACCGTAGGTGTGTCCCCAGTGTGTAGCCTAGGTTCCCTTGCTGCGTCAAGCGTAGGACCCCTTGCCTTGTTTAGCCTAGGCTCCACGCTAGCTCCCCCGCCGGCTGATGCTACTGCTTCGCTCTCTTTTTTATGCTCGACTCTGGAGCGTCTGCTTGCTCCATCCGCGACCACACTGCACTCACACCGCTTGCTGCCCCGGCCGCTGTCGTGCTTGCTGCCCCGGCCGCTGTCGTGCTTGCTGACCCCTCCTCAGGTTCGGTAGTTGCCCGTAGCTCCACCACCCTTCCCTGTCCGGCAGTCCCCTTGGGTTCTCTTACATGCCTGCATATCCCCTCGTTCACCAGGAACCTAGTTGGTGTCGGCTGTCTTCAGGACCTCGGCATCACCACTACGTTCCCTGGACACGAGCAGTACGCGGTCTGTACCGAGGCCGACACTGGTGCCCCTTTGACCACGTTCCCCCAGGACCCTCTGTCTGGCCCATTTACGCTTGACACTGCGTCCCCTCCCTTTGAGGGCGTCCCCATAGGTGCCTGTGTTGATCCAGGTTGCTGCGGTTTGCTCGTATCTGTCGCTCACTTACCCATCGCTTCTGTAGCACCACCGTTTAGGTTACCTCGCATTCCCGCATCGACGTCGCATGTCGCATTACGGTCTTGTCTTCGGTCTCCCTGCGTCGCTCCCTGCCCTCCCTCCCTCACCTGCGCCGCCCTGCACGCCTTGCAATAAGGGCCGACTGCGCTATGCTCCTCACTCCTCCTCGCTTCGCCCTACCACTGCGCCATTCCTGATCCTGCACTAGGACGTTTGGGGCCTAGCCCCCGTCTCTGGGCCGCGTCGAGAGCACTATTTTTTTGTGCTTATCGACGACTACACACGCTACACCACGGTGTTTCCCCTGGAGCGGAAGGCCAACGTGCCTGACGTTCTTATCTCATGGGTCCTAGTAGGTGTGCGAGTCCACCAGGGCTCCCTGTGATGCGTCTTGCCTGTGACCGTGGCGGCAAGTTCGCCTCTAGTCAGCTTGGCCAGTTCTGTCGTGCGGAGGGCATCACCCAGCCGTACACCCTGCCGGACTCCCCGCAGCAGAATAGGGTCACTGAGCGACGCATCGGGTTGGTCATAGAGGTGGCTTGTACCTCCATGATCCATGCCAGTGCCCCCCATTTTCTGTGGCCGTTCGTTGTTTCTTAAGCCGCTCACCAGATTAACATATGGCTACATTCCTAGCAGCCACATGTTTCGCCGAC